GGCGGGGGTCCCAGAGGAGGACGGGGACTCCTGCCGAAGGCCCAGTGACTGGACGCGCCTCCGTAGCTGCTGTGGGCAGGGAAGGCTCCCGCCCAGAATCGCCACCAGCAGGGCTGGCCCCAGTCAGGGTTGGAGAGAACAGCCAGCCGTCCCGGCAGGGCCAGGAGAGCAGACAGAATCTTGGCCCGAAGCCTCGGGGCCACCAACAGAGAGCAGAGGACAGGGCTGGCAGGACACCAGCCAGGACCGAGTGCGGAACCTCAGCACTCAGGGCCAGAGCTGTGGGTGTAACTAATACCTAGTCCGATCATCAGCTGCGTTTACTCCAAGGCTTTCTGGTGTCTGGCGGCCAGAGAGAGGTTGTGATGGGAGGAATCATCAAGCTATTCAGTCAGGTTTTAGAGTAAAAATCTGACTCAAAAAGTGGTTGATACACCCACTCCCATGCCCTGGAAACCTCAGACCTAAGTGGGGAGAGAAAGGAACCACGGGCTACTCAGCAGGGCCTGTCTGTCTGTCCACCAGTACAGTCGGTGTGTCCTCATAGCAACTATCCACAGGCACCTTTATCCCCGTTGTCCGAGGAAAAGATAAGTGGCTCAAGGTCACCCACTGATGAAAGGTAGAGCCAGCTTTCAAGTCCAGGTCTGTCTGGCCCAGAGCCCATGGTTCCTTCCCTCTCTGTGCCTCAGGGCAGAGAAGCGCCGAGACCCGCGAGCAGCAAACACACACAGGGGAGCGTCCGCACGGGGCCCCCCCGGCCCACAGTGGGCTTCCGCGGCACCGCTGTGGCTGCCTCAGGGTGGACTGGAGGCAGGCCCGATGCAGGCGCATCCGCACAGACACACACACACAGGGTGAACGGGAGGGGCACGGGATGGCATGGGCTCCAGCTCACTTGCTAGGCTGACCCTGGGCGCCAGCGGGATCTCTCCCCCGTCACTGCTCTTCCCCAGGCCCTCAGGCACCCTGGGCCAAAGCGGTCCTCCCACCCTCCTGTGCAGTACACGCCACATCCCCTCCCACCGCCACGGCGGGCCGGACTTTTGCTCGTGGATTTTGGAGGACAGGTGGGCTCTGGGAGCACCCCTCCCTCTCCGCTGTTAGGGCCTGACTTGGGAGTCGAGGGCAGACGGGGTGGGGGAGAGGAGGGCAAGCGCTGTTATTATGCCTCCACATGTCCCCCTGGTTCCTGAGGACCCTGCAGGGGCTTCCCCAAGTGCCCCCACCCCCACCAGGGGCGGCCAGCTCTGGCTGTCCTGTCCCCCACTCCGGCCACTGGCTGCACACCCCACCTGTCTTACTGCTTAGGTCCTCTTCACAGCAGGCAGCCTCCTGGGCGAGGAGAACCAGCAAGTGGCTGCGCCGGGGTGCTCTGCCCGTTGGGAGAGGCGCACGTCTGCACCACACCAGACGTGGGCACGCAGGCCACGCCCCGCGGGCCCACTCTCTCAAGGCCTCTCGCTCTCTAACCTCTTCTCTCCCTGTACCAGTCACAGGAGGCTGGTTACAGGAGACGGCAATGCCTCTCTCCTCTTCTTTCAGGACCCCCAATCTTAGTGATTGATTCCTTGGAGGACCCCTGGCTAGGCCGAGGAATCTCGGTTGCACGTTCCCCAACACAGGCTTCTTTTTGGGGGAGGACCTGTGACCCAGGTGCTACCTGGAGGCCGCAGAGACCGGAAGGAGGGCTCTGGCCTTGGCGTGGCACCTCTCTTTAGAGTGGGGGGACTCAGCCGCCTATCTCTGGGCAGCAGGGGAGCCGCTGTCCATGTCGCCTCACCCACACAGCCGGGGGTGGGAAGCAGAGACCTAGGGTGCCTGTCGCACCAGCGGTGGCAACAGGAGTCAGAACACTGCTCTGGGACCCTGGTCCTAATGGGTCCTGGACAAGCGCACCTTCAATGCCCAGGCACCACCCTGGGCCCTAGAATCCAGGTACAGCTGAAAGCCTGTCCCTTTTACTTCTTTACTGCAGCAACTGTGATCTGCTAACTGCCCCCAAGTTCTCTCTCTCTCTCTCTCTCTCTCTCTCTCTCTCTCTCACACACACACACACACACACACACATGCACGCACACACACGCACGCCTTCCAGCCCTCAGCATTACTTCCTAAGCGTTCTATAGGGACAAGAGGCAGAGGCCTTTCTGAGGACTGCTGCTCTGCCCCACGGGGCCCACCTGGGGTCAGGGTGCTAAACGAAAGAAGAATCCTTGTTTTTCCTCACCAATGGGACCTGCCTTGGGCTCAGCACGCGAATGTGTTTTGTGCCCAAGTGCACAGGCAAGGAGAAAAACCGTGGTTGCAGAGACTGGAAAGCAAAGGTAGAACAAAGACCAAGTCCTCCAGTGGCAGGAGAGAAACCTCTAAAGCCAAGGCTCCCTTCAGTCACATCAGCTGTGGCAGCCCTATCGCCAAAGCAGTCCAGCAAACCACCCAGGACAAAAGGGCCAAGGCACCCACTGATCGCCACCGAGACGGAGAGCTCTGCTGCGAGACGGAGAGCCCTGCTGCGGGGAGCGAATGCCGCCCCAGTGCACGCAGGGCCCTGTGCGCACGGCCGCTTCCCCGTGACTCTAGGGCCTCCCAGGCACGAGCACTCTGCCCGCCAGTCTGCACCAGGAGTCCGAAGAGAAGCCACTACTCGGCTATCCTGTTCCTCGGAGCAGAGATCCCTGACACGGAAGGGGCAGGGAGGGAGGCCTGGGGCCCCATGCACGCAGGGGAGCGTGCCTGGCTGGCACCCAGGTGGGAAGGTGCAGGCAGGCAGGACAGCTGGGACGCACTACCTGAAACCCAGCTCTGGCACCCGCTCCTGGGCAGGTGTCCGCCCTCCCCAGCCCGAGTGTGCCCTTCAGCTGTGAGACGCAAGGTTGGACCGGAAGTTCGGAAGGACCCCTCCTATTCCAACTGACAAGGATGGTTCTGCCTCCGTGGTGCCCCAGTAGCTCTGCCCGCCTTGGACGCGGCCAGAGCCCCCTCCTCCTGGGCTTGTCGGAGAGTGTGAGGGAGCACATGGCACGGCAGCCCGCCTGGGCCTCCCTGCTCACTGTGCTAACGCCGAAGAGCTCAGGCGTCCCCTTCACCAGCCTGCCCTCGGGGGGCTCCAGACCGTCAGGACGGGAAGGGTCTGCAGAGGCCATTCCGACCCTTCTCTTTCCTGAGGGCAGGCCCGAGGCCCCGGCCACGGGAGGCCTGCTGAGCAGGCTGGGTGCACAGCAGGTGGACAGCGAGGCCCAGTCCCCAGCGCCGTGGCCTGGCTGCTCCCCACCTAGCCTTGAGCTCGCCCCGTCCTCAGCCTGGCCACGGGGCACCCCTGACATTGTTTAAATGAATGGATAAATTAACCCAGAGCATTGTGCTCACTGGACCTACCTCAGCACTGCTCAAAAGGACAGGTGTTCTCCCCAAAGGAGCAGCTGCATGATCCGAAGTTCGCACCACCTCCCATCCAGGGATGGAAGCCGGGACCAGGTGCACCTGGTCTGACCCTCGCCTGCCGTGGCACCCAAGGCCCGGAGGAGGGGCTTCTGACCGCTGGTGCACCTGTGATCAGGTAGGCCATGCACATCTGAGGGCCTGCCTTTGGGACTCGCTCACATGAAGGACATGAGGTGTGGCAGGAAGAGGAAGGGCAGGTGAGGCCACCACCCGAGGTGGCCAACACCTGCTGCACAAGTGCATACAAATTTCATCCTCCGAGTTTATGCACCCACGTTCTCCTAAGGATTCAAATTTAGCATGGTCCTTCCCAGCACAAAGCCACACGTGGGCAATGCCTTCCATGTATTAGGAAGCTGGTCAAAGTGTTATTTAGATACTAACTCCTTTAATTTCCATGTTAAGGGAACACTGCAAGGCAGATGTCTCACCTGCCCAGTGTCCCACAGCCGGCATCCGGCAAGGCCCAAGCCTGAGCCCTCCCCACTCAGTTTTACACCACGGACCCCACCGACTGGCAGAGCAGAGGAGCTGGCCCAGGAGGGCGTGAGCCCAGGCCCACTCCCATGCCTCCTTCCACCTGATCGTGTCCCTGAGAGACACCTGGTAAAGGGTAGGGAAGGAGGGACTGGGCGTGAACCAGCTTGAAGTTCTGGTCTCCTTTCAACCACGCTGCCAGTTCCTACCCCCCTGGCCAGTGGCCCCCATCCCATTCCAGTCACCCCTGGGAAAGGAGACACACGTCTGTCGCCCCGACAGCACAACAACGAGAGGAAGCCGGGGCCTGGAGCAGGACAGCAGGGCCGCCAGGCAGAGGCTGCCTCCTCCCAGAGCCCCGCTGCTTCCCGCTCGTGTTCCAGGCCCAACCTGCTGCCTTTAACGTCGGGCCCTCGGGATGTGGCCGAGACCTGAGAGAGTCCCAGGGGTCCTTCTGGAAAGTCTACCCAAATGTAACTCCCAGGTTGTTGCCAGGCAACCAAATGACAGTAGGACAGGTGCCCCTCAACCCAATTGGCTGCCCCTGTAAACATTAACTCCTCTTAAACCACTAAGACCTATTTGGTCAAATAATGGGGAGATGGGGCCTTGAGGGCAGACAGGGGGGCCTAGGCCTGGACAAGTGCTCCTTCCGGCAACGCCGGCACCCCAGCTCTCCCTGGCAGCCCTCAGCCTCAGGCCAGGAGGGCCAACACTGACTCCCAAGCCCAGGAGTCACTCACATAAGCTGACAAAGAAGTATGAGATGCTCCTCTGTCCGGACTCCACCTGGCATTTAGGAAGTAAGACCCGCCGCTCTGTTACGCAGCGGCAACTGCCTCCTGTCACAGCCAAACGCAGATGGTCACATCGAACCTGCACCCATTTCTCATTTGACTCGATGCTGTGACGTCAAGGCCCTGAGGGACGTGGGGTGTGGCAGCATCACGCTCCCTCCTGCAAATGCATGTCACGGAGCAGAAGCCCAGCCCGCTGGAAGGAGCAGCAGCCTAGTGCACGTTCCCTGCATGCAGGACACCTGGCCCTGGCCTGGCCCAGGAGGCGGAGCCCGCACTCACCTGTTGAAGAGGTTGTTGCGGCGCACCATCCGAAGGAAGCCCGTGGGGTCGGTCACTGAGTTGAGCTTGTTGTTCATCTCTTCGCACTGCTGGTCCATGATGTCTCCGGCTTCGCTCTCTGTCTCGCTGCTGGCACAGGCCCTGCGGGAGGAGTGCAGAGATAGCCCATCAGAGAGAGGCCCCTACTTGGGGGTCTACCGCGTGGTCCCGTGCCACTCCTCTGCCCAACGCACCCCTGGCACCGAGCGCCTCCCTGTGACCAGGTCAGACCATGTCCTCCCCGTTGTCCCCACAGCCTTCTTCCCTCTGCCGTCCAGTGCTTCGTGAGATGTGCTCCAGTTGGTTGTTTCCGGGCTGTCACCCCCACGGGCCCGGGAACTCTCTACAGCAGGGGTCCCCACCCTCCAGGCCGTGGACCAGTAGTGGTCTGGTCCTGTTAGGGACCCGGCTCCACAGCAGCGGGGAGCTTGAATGTAATACGTTGAACCATCCCTTTAACCATCCCCCCTCCAGCCTGGTCCGTGGAAGAACTGTCCTCCACGGAACAGTCCCTGGTGCCAAAAAGGCTGGGGCCCGCTGCTCTACGGGGGAGGCTGTGCCGGAGCCAGCGCCCACTCCCTGCGTCTAGCACATGCCAGACACGTTCTAGGTGCCCGACGACTGTTTGGGAAGGAGTGTGTGGTGGGCTGGCAGAGCGCTCTTCTCGGGGTAGAACTCGAGCAGCCCTCGCAGCCCGAGTTCCAGCCCATCCCACTCCAGAAACAGCGTCTAAGCGCCCCTTAGGCGCCAGGCTCCACGCTAGGCCTGGGGAGTACACAGGCCAGAAAGGCAGGTTCCAGACGAAGAGACACCAACTGGCTGCCGTGGCAGGCAGAGCAGCCGTGTCTGGCACATGGGCTCGAGAAATGCTGCTGACTGGAGCCCATTTTCCAAGCTCAGCACGGGGATGTTACAATATTTGAATGAATAAATTCACATTTCCCCTATGACAAAATGCAATAGAACACCTCACAATGGGTTTTAAATAAACAGAAATACCCAGGAGTGCCCTGATTCATCAGTGTTATTAAAATGACGAAAGGCTTATTAAACAGAAAAGCGGTGCATTATGAGCCTATGATACCAAGACAGATGCCATAGGAGCACGTGGGGGGGGGGCACTGCCACCTGCGGCCGCCCCCTCCCCATCGTGGGCCTCGCCGTGTACACAGCCTGCCGGGGTCAGCAAAGGCAGATCTCGGCCTACAGCTGCCCCTCCTTCGGCACGATGATTCCACTCAGATGTCGTGGGAATGATGATGCCATCTGGCCCAAAGAGAACTCTCAGCCAGCATGACCACTTTGTTTCAAGTTCCCCGCTGACTCAGGACCCTCGTGGAAGGGTGGGGAGCCCCAGGACACTGGAGGCAGAGGACTGACAGATGGGTGAGCCCCACACGATGGACAAGGGGGATCCGGAAAGAAATGGGCCTTCTATTGCCCTGAGGGAAGAGGTTCTCACATCAAGATTTAGGTTTAAGCCCTGCCTGGTATAGCTCAGTGGGTTGAGCTCGGGCTGCAAGCCCAAGGGTCGCCAGTTTAATTCCCAGTCGGGGCATGTGCTTGAGTTGCAGGCCAGATCCCTAGTGGGGGCCACATGAGAGGCAACCATGTATTGATGTTTCTCTCCCTCCCTTTCTCTCTCCGTTCCCCTCTCTCTAAAAATAAATAAATAAAATCTTAAAAAAAAAAAAAAGGTTTAGGTTAAAGGTGGACATGGTCTGCTTCAGACAGCCAGGCTGGTGAGCCTGTGGCATCAGGATCCCACGGCAGAGAGGGGTAATGACCTTACTGGGTCACTATGGAGTCAAACGAGACAGCGTGTGAAACTGCCTAGTAAACCTGAATGTACTATGTGAACATCAACCGTGGTGTGATGGTACTTTGGTTGTTGTTGCTGTTAATTTCCCTGGGCCCAGGGTGCCCAGAAATTTGCTTAAATATTATTCTGGGTGTGTCTGTGAGGATCTTTCTGGATGAGACTAACATTTGAGTCAGGACGCTGAGGAAAGCAAAGTGCCCTCCCCTACACGGGTGGGCCTCACCCAACCTGTTCCATTCAGGGGCCTGAATGGAACGAGAAGGCACAGCGGGGGAGAAGCTCCTCTCTGCTTAACTGTCTAGGAGCTGGGACATCGATCTTTTGCTTTCAGACTTGAGCTCGGACTGGAGCTTACCTCACCGGCTCTCCTGGGGCCCCAGCTCGCCAGCCACAGCCTCGAGACTTCTCGGTCTCCATGAGCATGTGAGCCAGTTCCTTACAATAAACCCTGTGTGTGTGTGTGTGTGTGTGTGTGTACTCGTGTGCATGCACACTGTTGGTTCTGTTTCTCTGGAGAACCCAGACTAACATGCCTGGTAACGAGGCACCGGGGTCCCGACTCAGCCACATCCTTGTAAAGAGGCAGTCACTACCAGGGTTCCCCGAGCTCAGCAAGACTTCGCCACAGAGCCACGCCAATGGCTGGTAAAGCCTGCTTTCCTTCTCATGCCATCTGGGAACAATGCTTCCAGCCCAGGAGAGCGCCAGGCACGCTTGGCACACAGTAGGTATGCCGTAAGGAATTACTGAACGAATGAGTGACTTATGCCAGAGAGCGCTTTGTAATGTGCACAGTATTTGTACACGGACTTCACTTTCTCTCCCACCTGCGCGGCAGCCCTTATGGCCCCGTCTTGTTTCTGAGGAGACTGGGGTGTGCAGACACCAAGGAACTGGGCCGAGGACACAAAGAGGGAGGGCCGGGGCTGAGCCCCGCTCAGGTCTGGGCACTGACTCCCCCGCCCCTCCCACGTTAAGGCTCTAAGCTTCTCACACAGCGCATGTCTCCCTGCTGAGGTTTGACCAGGGTAGGGGGAGGAGGAATACAGGAAGCTAGAGACACCAAGACGCTCCGAAGCCCCTCAACAAACTGCCGTGGCTCCCACCCCGCTGGAGAGCGGGGAGTGGGGCTTTATTCCTCTCACCACTCCACAGGCGTCAACAGAACAGCCGAGCAGCTGAAGGCTTGAATGCTCCCTTGGGAGCTGAGGGCCCTTCACAGAGACCCTGGTAAATATCGCTCAACAAGCTCCTCTGTCCAGGGACACATTTATCATCCGAATGCGACTGCCTGCTTGGAGCTGAGAAGTCTGCTTGTCATTCAGGGCTTTGCAACAGGGAGGAGAACCGTCTGGAGCTGGCACCGGCCTCCCCCAACTCGCAGTCCCATTCTCTCAGTCTGCCTCAGACCGAGCCCTCGGGACCTCACCCCTGATGGGGTTGCTTCCTGCTTTCTGACCCTTCCAAGTGTTAACATTCAAGAGAAAAACGAACAGGCGATGACACAGATAAAGGAATCTCCCTTCTGCAAAACAAACCCCATCAATAGAGTGCGGCATGCAGCGGGGATCCCAAGAGCGCCCTGCCCACGTCACATCGAAGCCCCGCCCCCTTCCTCGGAGAGACTGTCTGGGGATGGCGTGTCACCTCGTCTGAGGACTGCAGGCCCTGATTCCGCTCACTTCCATTCAACGACACCTGCTGAGCGGGGCCGCTGTGGAAGGGCAGAGGCTGAGCGGAGGAGAGTCGCATCACACCCGCCTCTGAGGTGCTTGCAACCTAGTCGGACTAGTGAGCACAGGTGAAGGCGGACTGAGGAGGCACAGGGAGGGCAGACAAGCTCTCCTGGAATGAGCTGCATCTGAGCGGCATTTCGAAGGATACAACCTTGACAGGTAGAGACGGGTGGGGGTGGGGCTTCCAGGCAGACAGAATGGTATGAGCAAAGTTGTGGAGGTAAGACAGTGTGGGGGCTGCCTGGGGCCATTTGGGGCCAAGAGAACAGCCAAGTTGAGCTGGAGCAGAGGGTAAGAGTGGGACAGAAAGTGGAGATAATAGTGCAGGGAGGTCTTGAACTTGGAAGGCAGTTGAGAGCTGTCCGTCCAGGCCCCTGAAGAGGGAGGCGGCAGGCTCAGCACTGCTCTTTGGGAGACAGTCAGCCAACTGGACCAGAGTGGAGAAGCCAGCTAAGTAGGCTGGGGGGAGGAGTTAGGCAGTTATCACCAGCACCTGCTCAGAAGCAGCCCTGAAGGCCCAGGGTCAAGCTCAATAAAGCTTAACTGGCCCCTCCCACCTATAAGAAGTCCCTGTCTCAGGAGTTATTGTCATGTTAATACAGTAACCTGCTAAGGTCTCTCTCATACACCAGGTGAGGCAAGTCTTCCATAAGCCCTTGACTCTGGCCAGAGGCTCCCTCTTCTGCCCTGAGCGCCCACCCCCTATCTGCAAACAGACAAGCCGGCTCTCACCCCACCTTCCTGATTCCTCACCATTTTTTGGTCTCTGTTGTCACCAGCAATGGCTCTGGCTCGTCCTGTGGTTGGGCCAGCTCTGACATCAGTCTGAGACTGAGAAGGGGGGACCAACAGGAGAAATGTCACCCCCAGAAGGACTTGTCTGCCTGGGGGACTCACAGAAGGGAGACGGTAACACACAACTAGCAGGTGAAACACGGCAGATGGAGAACTGGTGGCAAACACAGAAACCACAAGCAGGAGTTGGTCTGAGGTAGAAGAGGAAGGTTCAGTTGGGACAAGCTGAACGTGCAGACAGGACACAGAGTTGGAAATGCCGAGTATGCAGATGCTGATGCGGTCATCTAGGCCCTCCTCCTTCCAGACGGCCTGGAAATCGTCAGAAATCCAGGTCGGATGCTCAGGAGAAAAGTCAGGACCCACTGTGTGACGTCTCACTCATTTGGTTCACCCAGAAAATGCTATTAAATGTTTTCATAAATACCCTGATACACCAGGTTCTGATTGCAGGAAAAAAGGAGTAAGCACAGTCCACCCCATCTTTCCCAATGAAGACAGCCATAAACCTTGGATGGGCTGCATGGAGCCACTATTTGAGGAGTGTGAAAAGTAGAAATCTTGCAAACCAGGAGTAAAAAAGAACTTCACCAGCCGGATAAAGCGCAGCTGTAACAAGTCTACCGCTGACATCATGTGTAAACAAGGTAAGGATGTCGGCTCCCGTCCTTCCTATGAAACACGGCACTGGGAGTTCTAGTGCGAAAAGATGAAAGAAAATAAAAGGCACGTGGACTGGAAAGGGAAAA